CCGTGAGGCTGAACTGAATGAATATCCTCCCTCAGGAGCAACATGCTGGTCCAGACCCCGAGTCTTCCGTCGTCTCCTTGCCAACTGGCAGGTTAATCAAGACTTTTGAAAAATTTAGTTAGCAGGTTATAAGGTCCAGTGTTTGGTCAGTTTTGCGTGGGGGCACAGAATGTTTGGTAATGACATCTTGGGTCAATCAGAATGTGCTCAGTTTCCTGTTGAGCTCATTTCCTATTTCTGAGCACATGACACGTGATACTGCATGATTCATTGCTTATCAGCTGCTTCTGAGTTCATTGTTTCAGTCATTGGGACATTTTCTTTTTAATTGGTGTGATATGCCTTCCCCTTGTATGTGAATGTTGCTCGAATCTCTTTAATTTTTTAACCTTGTACTAGGGCATCAGTTTTGAATCTCAGTACAGTGTGGGGCCAACATTTGCAGATGAATGTGTCTTGTTTAAATGTACTTAAAGAGGACTTTGGATTTTTTTTTAAATTTGAGACTCTCGGGGTGGCGATAATTTGGATTGTGGTCATAGGTGGTCTCCAGCGTATCAGAGGAAACATCTGATGTATGGTCTTGAACAGAGATCTGTGTGACTGGCAGACTTTTTAAAGTTCGGCATTTACGCCAACATGAAGCAGGCATGAGCAACATTTCTCTTATAGCCACCGTATTTGCTTCACCATTTCAGTGCATAAAGTTATAAGTAATGAAGCACATGGAGCGGACTCCTTGTCGAGAAGCTTCCAGTCATTCAGATAGTCCAGAAATTCTGTGGCTGTTGGCGGAACCTGAAAGTTTGTTACTGTGTTCACAAGAGCTTGCCATTGGCCTATATCATGAGCCAGTTTAATACAATCCACACTTCCACTCTATTTTTAAGATCTGCTTTAATATTGGCCTCCCATCTATGCCTAGGTCTTCCATGTAGTCTTTCTCCTCCAGGAATAAGTCGTGGGTAACTGATAGGGTAGCCCTGCACTTTTAAGGATCAGACAGAAGTTTAAGACCATTCGCTGTAGAAAAGGCAGGGTGTTATGAAATGTTTTGTTTTGGGATTTGATTTTTTCGTGGTGGTGGTGATTGTGATGATCAGCTGGGTCTTGACCCTGTGTAGACTTGTAGGTAGATATCAGTGTTTCAGATAAACACACTGCCTTCATCTTTAGGGTATTCTATTATTTCATAATTGCGAAAGATCATGAGGAATTATTTTAGTTTCTTGAGCGGAAGTGTGATTTGAAAGTGGGTCCTGTTTATGATCGAAAGGTTGGGATCCAAGATGGCGTAGAATGGAATGAATGCCTCTCTGTGCTTTCTGTAGTTTTGCTCCCAATTGGAGCCACACTTGATGAGCCACATTTCCTTCCACTTTGCCAACTCATCCTGCAGCCTGAAAAACAAACGTCTCATTGTGTTTTTGTGGCGACTGCCGCTGGAAGTCGGACAGCTGTCTTGCACTTGTGCGCTGCTAACATTTAATCCCATCGCATGGAACTGTACTTCGTCTTGCACAGCGTTTTAAATGACAATGTGAAGCATCGGTTTGTGGTCATCACAATAGCAGTCGAGCGAGTCCCAACATGTCTGCCGACTTTGCTGGCTGGCATTCCAGAGTTCTGATGACCGATTATATCGTTCGTTCTTGAATTGAGTCCACTTTTAAATTAACTCCCACTCGGTCACAAGTCGTAAAGCTAAGAAATCACTGTCGCTTGTTATGATGATTGCTTTTGGTTGGTGGGGCCATTTATAACAAATCTGTAATTTGGGTAGAATGTTAAGGCCCGACCAGTTTTTCTTCGTATCTTGGTGGTCGTTACTTCGAGAGACATTCCGTAGCTTACCCCCGACCCCTGCAGAGGCGCCCTAGTACCGCGCCGTGACAAAGCTCGGTACTTAGCAGTCCGTAATAATTCCACCATTTCGTGTAGTGTATTTGAAAAATGTCGTTAATCTTTTGAACTCCAAATAATTAAGAATCTAGTTCGCAGAGCACGAGGGTGACCTTCAAAAAGATTAAATGTTAACCCTTTGAAGCCGAAACTCGTCTAAATAGTATTTAGGAATTCAGTCCGTACTGCGAAGAAAACACGACACTTCACCATTACAAAATATCAACTGGTTAACGCTGATTAAAGAAATAATCGCTGTTTACAGCGAAATTCAGACGAACGCTGCTCAAAATGCAGAATCATAGATTGTTGAAAAACGTGGTACATATAGTTACCACAGGGCTTTAAATGGTAAAAACTGCAGCGTTTGCAAAGGCAGTCAGTTGATTTGCCACATGTTTCGATGATGATAATAGCCATCTTCATGACTTTTTATATTTTATATCATTACCAGCCTTAACATTTTTTTTGAACCATGAAGATGTGTGTTTCGTAGTCGAGGCGTGTTGCTTGTCTTCGATTGGCGTTGTAAGACGTGCGTTATAAATTTCTGTGCGTCGGTGGACAGGGACAGTAATTCGTGTTGGCTCTACAACGGGATGCATTGTCGTTCGTGTCTTGGCAGATACGTTTATCAAAGGTCGTAGTGTCACGGCGGCTCGTAATCGGGAGGTCGCAAGTTCGAAATTTATCCCGGAAATATGCAGCCCACACGCATGCTCTGTGACAGTGAGTGCTTCCTTCCCAGTTCATCGTCGTAAAAGTTTAGCTTGGTTTAATTGAGACAAGTTGAAGTGGTTTGTTGATCCGAATCTTTGGATTCCTCCGTCACGTCGTTGAAGATGTCCCCTCGCCCTTCTGCTGGCCGTGCGTTGTCAGTTTTGACCGCTTTTCTGCTAGCGAAGGACAAAGAAAATTTTCTCAGCGCCTTGGCCGGATCGAACCCAGGTCGTCAAAATTTCAGAACTTCCGTCCACATAGCGACGCCGTTTTTATAGGTCACAGGCGAACACGGTCTAAACCTAACCTAACAAATGCGCGTAACAGCTGTTTATTAGTGGGACACATTGCTTGGGCTGTCTGAGGAAAAGCTTGGAATTCCTGCGTCTAGGTACACTGTAGACAAACGAATTAACGAGGTAGAGCAGACAGAGTCCTTGAGAAGTTAATAGCATTCTTGGCGAGTGAAGAAATTCCTCGCCTTTTATGGAACCCGAAGGTTCAGTCCACACCCTCACTCCGCAGTTCCTAAAAGATTTATTTTCGCATTGGCCCTTGTGTGGCCTTATCCACGTGTTTCGACCGTCGTAATGTTTTTGCAGGGAGTACAAGCGAATTTCTCCAGCCCTTCGCGTTGGATCCAAATATTCCCGTCGGGACCCCGTTCTCAAATGCACTCGATTCGCGTTCCTCCAGAGTTGACGCCGTTCCCCGCCCGAAGTTCGAACCTGGTTCTTTCAGACATGAAACCTGGACACCGGGAGGTGCGGGCGGTGTTCCGCCCGTCGGCAAGTTCTGGCAGCAAAAATAACTTGATTGGCGCAAATCCGCCTGAC